TTCACTGTGGGTGTGCAGGCCCTCTTAGACAGCTGAGAAGACCGGAAGTGAGCCCCCTCTGAGGACTTTCTGGTGGGCTCTGGAGAAAACCCTGTAACTCAATTTTAGGTATAACAAACCCTACAACATGGTGAGCTCCACTCTGGTGAGGGGAACCTCGCTTGTTTTGAGCTCCCAAATTTGAATCGACAATTCGCCAGTGGAAACAGCAACCAATGCAAAGTATTGTGAGGACTCACAGGCACTCAGCTGGGTTGTATCTCGTCCCCCACCAAACTTGTGTCTATCCAGAACCCATGAATGTGAGCTTGTTTGGAAATAGGGTGTCTGCAGATGTAATCAAGTTCAGATGATGTCATAGTGGATTAAGGTGGGCTCTAATTCAATGACTGGCATCCTAGGGAGGGAGAAATGTGGAAGAGATACACACAGAGAAGATGGCCATATGAAGACAGAGGCAGTATTGGAGGAGTCATGCTGCCACAAACCAAGGAATGCCAGCAACCACTGGAAGCTATAAGAGGTAAAGAAGGATTCTTCCCTAGAGGGAGGCTTGGGACCGTGGCCCTGCCAAACCCTTGATTTTGGGCTTCTGGGGTCGAGAACTGTGAAAAAATAAATTTCTGTTGTTTTAAGCCACACAGTTTGTGGCAATGTGTTATAACAGCCCTAAGAGACCAATACAGGCACCAAGTTCATCATAAAATAATCCCACAAGATATATATTTTATTTGGGGTACCTAATTAGTATGGGGATCAGGCTGAAAAGGCACCTAGGGTTGTATAAAAAGATAGTGTTTATCTTCAACTCAACGAAAACAGATGCTTCAGACCTCCCATGGCACATTCCTCCTTCTGTCCTATCACAGCATCCTCTCGATTTCCATGTTGAACATTTAAGCTTTCTGGACGCTTCACTTTGAATCTCCCTTTGACTCCAATGGCTTCACTTTTAGCCTCCTCTAAAAAATTTTAAGTAAATTATTTAAAATATACAGAGGACAAGAAATAACATAATGAACACTAGCGAGTCAGATATCCCCTCTACCTCTATGTATTTCCCCCTTTCTCTTTTTTTGCCATGTTTCCATGCCATCTCACTCCATGTATTGCTCTCAATTTTCTTTTTATTTTTTTAAAGATTTTATTTATTTATTTGACAGAGAGAGAGAGACACAGCAAGAGAAGGAACACAAGCAGGGAGAGTAGGAGAGAGGGAGAAGGAGGCTTCCCGCTGAGCAGGGAGCCCAAGGTGGGGATCAGGATCCCAGGATCCTGGGATCAGGACCTGAGCAGAAGGCAGATGCTTAATGATTGAGCCACCCAGGCACCACTGCTCTCAATTTTCTTTCTTTCTTTTTTTCTTTTTTAGATTTTATCTATTTATTTGACGGACAGAGATCACAAGTAGGCAGAGAGGCAGTCAGAGAGAGAGAGGAGGATGCAGGCTCCCTGCTGAGCAGAGAGCCTGATGCCTGGCTCGATCCCAGGACCCTGAGATCATGACTTGAGCTGAAGGCAGAGTCTTTAACCCACTGAGCCACCCAGGCGCCCTTGCTCTCAGTTTTCTAAAGACAGTAAGACTGGTGCAGAGGTTGTCCAGCCTGACTATTTGTCTGTCCTACAGACAGACACTGTACAACACGCACACACTAGAGATAATAATTAGGTGGCTGGCTGTGGACTATCAGAAGGGGAGGCAAAGAATTATTACCCTCCAAGTAATATGAATGTCCCTAGTTCCTTATTCTTAAATTTTAGATATGCTCTGGACTGAAGCCATCCCAGCATTTTTACCTTTTCAACCAGAATCTCTTTACCCCAAATCTGTAAGCAGTAGAGTATGGGAGGTGGGCTTCTCATTCTCCACCTCTGGATATACAATATACCTTAAGTAAGAGACTCCCTTTCCTCTTTACTTATCTTGCAGAATATATTGAGCTACTTCCCATCAGGCCTCAGAGAATGGGGAGAGGGATCAGGGCTAATACTTGGGCATAACTACAAATGGCTTTCTTTTCTCTCTCTCAATCTCTCTCTTTTTGTAATGACTTATTTTATTTTTTTTAAAGATTTTATTTATTTATTTGACAGACAGAGATCACAAGTAGGCAGAGAGGCAGGCAGAGAGAGAACGAAACAGGCTCCCTGCTGAGCAGAGGGCCCGATGCAGGGCTCGATCCCAGGAGCCTGGGATCATGACCTGAGCTGAAGGCAGAGGTTTTAACCCACTGAGCCACACAGGTACCCCAAGTAATGACTTATTTTAGAGAGGGAGGGAGGGAGGGAGGGGCAGAGGGAGTGGGAGAGAGAGAGAATCTCCAACAGACTCCCTGCTGAGCAAGGAGCCTGACATGGGGCTTGATTCCAAAACCCTGAGATCTTGACCTGAGCAGAAATCAAGAGCCAGTCACTCAACCGACTGAGCCACCCAGGTGCCCCCAAATAGCTTTCTTGGCTCCCTTTGTCACCATTTATTTCCTTATTACCATGCAAATCTTCCTATAAGAGGATTTTATGTTTTTAAAATAAATTCTTATTAATTCTTGGTCATAGACTTCAATTTCCCAATTTTCCCTTGAACTTAAACATACCAATGAGGGTTTCAAGTTACGGATTATCTCGAAGGAACTATTCTTAGTATAATTTAGAGTTCAGAACATCATTAGGGAGACAAACAGAGGTACAAAGGAAATAGCCTAAAGGTATTTAAAAAATAAGTTCCTATTCTCTTGGGGTAGGACTGGTAGAATTAAAGCAAATGGAAATGGTATGTTGTTTTTCTCACCTCTCCTGATTTGTTTTGGACCATGGGCTCCATTCTGATTTAGGAGTCTTTCCTGCTCAGCATTTCAGTGATAATTCTCCCCATGGTCTATAGGATCCCTGTTCTCTTTGTTTCTATAGCAACAGTCCTGTGTTGCTTGGCTAGAAGCAATTTGCTGCTGCTGTGGTGAAGCCCCATTTTTTCATTCCTTTCTCCCCAGTTGCCTTGGTAACCAGCTTCTCCCTCTTTGGGACTCTCAGTGGTAAATTCCACTCCCCTCTTTTTTTCTCTCTCTAGTAACAGTCACCTGGTCATGACTTGGACAGTGCTTTACCATCTGTGAGTGAGCACACTCTGTCATGGTCAGATTGTCATCATGAAATTAGCCTCCTGTTTGCTTTATTTGCATCATTTCTCCTGCCTGCCATCTTTCTAGTGGTTGTCATGGTAACCGTACCCTCTGAAAGTCTCCAGGCAAAGGCTCTACAGTTAACAACCATCATGTGAGAGTGTCTGCCAATATACGGCCACACATCTCGATTTTAAAACCAGCCCCAGGCGGGTACCACAAATTGGAGAGAACAGGCTTTTGATCAAAGCAGACTGGATTGAGAAAAGGAGGGACAGGGTACCCTAGGTTCTGATGTTCTCCAAACAATACATGTGGCTACAAGGTTTAGGCTGGGTCTGCAAGAGTGGCCATTTGCCAGCAGTGATCCAAGCAATGGAGAAATGTATCAACACTTATTCCAGGCAGGCCTATCATACGCTCTAAACTTCTAGGGGGTAATTCCTCTGGCCCAAGGGATCTGGGTGATATGACCTGAGAGCTAGGCAGAGACAAGTGATCTCAGGCAGAAAAAAATTAACCCTTAAATTGGCTAACAAGGGGTTAGTAGAATGTATATTTAGGTAATTTACATGGTCTGAAAATTTCTCTGGCCTTAGGTTGTTGCTCTTACCTCTTTAGTGAGGCAGATGGGGTGTTACCATTATAATAATATGAAGTGTTCAACAAATGGTGGTCATTCTGTGCTTGGGTGTTGTAGCAGGTACTTTTCAGATATAACTTCAATTTATCCTTATGACAGTCCTGAGAGGTATTTCATGATAAAATTGAGGCTAAAAGGTAAAGTTAATTGTGTGAGGTCACACAGCAGCTGATAAGTAGCAAAACTGGAATTTGAACCGTGGTTTATGATTTCAAAGCTTGCTCTTTCTTTCTTAGATTTTATTTTATTTATTTGAGATAGAGAGAGAGAGAGAACATTGAGTGGGGGAAGAGGGGCAGAAGGAGAGGAAGAGGGAGAAGCAGACTCCCTGCTGAGCAGGGAGCCTATTGTGGGGCTCAATCCCAGGACCCTGGAATCATGACCTGAGCCGAAGGCAGATGTTTAATTGACTGAGCCACCCAGGTGTCCCAGGTTGTAGGGTTTCCTGAATTTTGGTCCTCTGGTCTCCACTTTAATTTGAGGGTTACTACTCCTTTACCCTTTCTTCCTTCCTTATTTTTCCTCTTCATATTTTGTGGGTTGTTTACTTGCTGTTCTTAACCCATTTCTTGCATTCTTTTCACCAAAAAGGAGAAAACTTTTGCCCTGCCTTCTGATTGTGTCTTGCTTTGCGTTTTGGGATAAAAATGTTAGAGCAGCCGCCCTTGCCTGAGAACTGGGCAGATCTGATCCTGGAGAACACCACACATCTAGCTCACTGGCTCCAGCAGTAGATAGGCAAACCATTCTCATTTCCGTTTAACAATTATTGGGTATCTTTTTGTATCAGACACTGTGCTAGGCACTGGAGATACAGCAATGACCTAGGCAGAATCTGTTCCTTGCCTTTATGGAGCTAACAGCCTGGAATGGAAATCAGACACTACACGAGAAATCAGGAAATATTTTTATATTGTAATTAGTGGTATGAAGAAAAGAACTAGGCGCCGTGAAAGAAAAAACAACAGGGATAGACTTGAGACAGGACTGCCATCCCTCATTTAAGAGAGGAGATAGTTTTAAAAAAATCAATCTTTTTAATAAATCGACAATCAGTTATTTAAAAAAAAAAAAAAAAAGGAGAGAGGAAGATTGTTGAGCCTCTGATACCAGCAAGCTGATGGCAGGCATGTCGGAAGCTTCTTAAGCTTGGAAACCGTGGTCTCGCCCCACCCACCTCTCCTCTCGTCCTCCACGCGGAACCCTAGGTATGCGCAGGCGCACTGACGGTTGCCATGGGGACAGCTGCTCCCGCGCAATCGCAGATATCCTCAAGATGGCGGCGGCGGCGGCCGCGCGAGCAGTTTCTGTGAGCGCCGGGCTACGGGGTCTGCCACGGACACTGCCTCTTGTAGTGATTCTCGGGGCCACGGGCACCGGCAAATCCACCCTGGCGTTGCAGCTAGGCCAGCGGCTCGGTGGCGAAATCGTTAGCGCTGACTCCATGCAGGTAAGAGTGCAGTTGGCCCCGGGCCTGCGAAACGCAGAGGCCGCCTGCGGGCCTGTGGTCGAGTGGATGCCCAGTCGCATGGTGGTAGTGGGTGAACCCCGAGGCTTGTGGGGCGGAGTGAAGGGAACCCATAATTACTGGGTGCCCACCGTGTACCAGACATAGTGTCAGGCGATTGAGTCAGTTTCCTCATCTCATTTGCTTCTCACGACGTTGCTGTTGATAGATGCTATCTCCATTGACGCCTGAGGGAATTCACCTAGGGAGATGAAACGGTTTTCTCCGTGTCACATAGCGAATTAGGGAAGGAGATGGCCTTTGAACCTACAGGGTTGACAGGCGTCCAATAAATACCTGTTGAATGAAAATTGTTACGCGCTTTTGCTATTTCGAGTACTCAGCGACAGCGGTATAAATCGGTTACCGTCTATGAGTAACTCCTGAGGGAATGGAACAGGGTGGATATTCAGGAGACCTGCATTCTAATTCCTAATCTGCCATCGACCACGTGAGCTTAATGTATCTGTAAAGTGGAAAAAATGGCACCTACCTCCCAGGGCTGTGGTGCTTAATAAGTGAGAGCGTGAGTTTTAGAATGGAGAGCACGGTCCTGAAAAGGCCGGGGCCAGGCACCTGGTAAATGTTTAAGTTGAGATTTTTAACTCCCTACTGGCTGATGGGAGCCAGGAGGCTTTGTCCTCGTCCTTGAGTTAGAGGGTAGCCTAGGAGGGTAATATACCTGGCACCTGGTTGCATTTGGGCTTGGGTTAAGAGTGGGTGACATTTTGGGTAAATCTGTGATGGAGGAATTGTAAACCCTATTTATTGAAGATAATTTGCAGTTAATGAGTTTTTACAGAGTAAATGAGATGCTTGATGTGAAATGCCTGCCACTGAATCTGGTATCTACCTGATGGGTACTTAGCAAGGAAAGGCATTCCTTCTCCCTACTACACCCGATAAACCTCTGGGCATGGTTTCTACCTTTATTAATTCATTTGGAGTGACATGGCCATCAACACACAAATGATTAGGATAATTCAACAAATGTTAGTTTGCAGCCTTTATTTTGTGTCAGCTTCGAGAGACAGACTTTACCCCTAATCCCAGCCCTGTCTTTTCTAAGATATGTGACTTCAGCCTGACCTCTTTGTGCCTTTGTTTCTTCTGTAAAATAGGAAGAAGAATACCAATAACACAACGTAATTGTGATGATTGATGTGATAAAGTGCGTAAAGCATTTAATACAAGATATGGTGCATGGTGCTAAAAATATAAGTGCTATTTTCTGCAAGGCCCTTTGGAAAGAGAAAATCATAATCCCCTTCCTCAGGGAGTTTTAGTACAGCTAAACATGGAACAGAGCAATTAGAAAGTGTTTGAACTATGATATTAATGATGCTTTGCAAGGTGGATGGGGTAGGGAGGAGAGAAACCGCAAATGTTAGATTTTATACTAAACCATATAGTTTCTGAGAAGGGAGAAATCCATGCAGGCTGATATAGTTAGTCATGTAAAGCTCTCTGAAAAGGGACTTGAAAGGTGAAGTCTAGATAGGTAAGAAGAAAAGGCATGTCAAAGGAAGGAACATGAATGAAGATTTAGGTGAATATGTGGAACAGTGTGTATGTAGGACAGTGAAAGGAGGATGTTCATTAGGTATTGTAGATATTGTGGATGGAATGGAGAATGAGTAACATGATGAACGCAGTGTGTAAGAAGCATTCATTTGTGAACAGTATGCACAATGAATTGGATGTGGGGGTGGGTGTTAGGAATGCGGGGGAAGGGAGAGGTGTAACTTTTTTTTTTTTTTTTAGATTTTTTTATTTATTTGACAGACAGAAATCACAAGTAGGCAGAGAGAAAGGGGGAAGCAGGCTCCCCGCCGAGCAGAGAGCCCAACGTGGGGCTCGATTCCAGGACCCTGAGATCATGACCCGAGCCGAAGGCAGAGGCTTTAACCTACTGAGCCACCCAGGTGCCCTGTACCTTTTTTTTTTTTTTTTTTTTTAAGATATATTTATTTGAGGGCTGCCTGGGTGCCTCAGTGGGTTAAGCCTCTGCCTTCAGCTCAGGTCATGATCTCAGGGTCCTGGGATCGAGTCCCGCATTGGGCTTTCTGCTGGGCGCGGAGCCTGCTTCCTCCTCCCTCTCTCTGCTTGCCTCTCTGCCTACTTGTGATCTCTCTCTGTCAAATAAATAAAATCTTAAAAAAAAAAAAAGATATATTTATTTGAGAGAGAGAGAGTGTGTACTTGAGCAAGCTGGGGGAGAGGGAAAGAATCTTAAAGCAGATTCCTCTCTGAGTGTGGAGCCTCCCATGGGGCTTGATCCCAGGACCCTGAGATCATGACCTGAGATGAAATCAAGAGTTGGACACTTAACTTACTGAGCCACTCAGGTGCCCCAAGATGTAACGTTTTTTGAAGGTATAATCATGTTACAGTGAGCTGGTCACTGATTGCTGAAAGAAGAATGAAGGACATAATAGACTGAGGATTCAGGTTTGTATGCCTGGGAGAGTCTGGTGAGCCTTGGAATCAGGAAGATTTGGCAGGGCACAGTGGGAGTAGCAACAGGACATCCAAGGGGAAAGTCTGCTGGGTGGGTGGAGAGTGTGCAGCAGGTGTGACGCCACTTCAAGACTCTTGTACTTATTGCCTCTGCCTGGTGGCGCTTATTCCTCTATTTAACCATGTGGCTTGCTTTCTCTCTTCATTCATGTCTCTACTAAGATGTCCTCTTACTGAGGCCTTCTCTGATCATTCCATTTAAAATAACACATCACCGGGGTGCCTGGGTGGCCCAGTCATTGGGCATTTGCCTTCGGCTTGGGTCATGATCCCAGCATCCTGGGATTGAGCCCCATGTTGGGCTCCCTGCTCCACGGGAAGCCTGCTTCTCACTCTCCCTCTTTCTCTGCTTGTATTCCATCTCTCTCTCTCTCTCTCTCTCTGGCAAATAAATAAAATCTTTAAAAATAAAAAATAAAATAACACACCACCAATCCCTGTTCCCTATCTTTCTCATATAGCAAACAGTCCTTGTCAGGGGAATGTTCCCAGTAAATCATCTTAATTTTACATCATCTTTTTTCTTTTTAGATTTTACTTATTTATTTGAGAGAGAGCACACAAGCATGAACGGTGGGGAGGGGCAGAAGGAGAGGGCAAAGGAGACTCCCCGTGAAGCAGGAGGCCTGACATGGGCCGCCATCCCAGGACCCTGGGATCATGACCTGAGCCAAAGGCAGATGCTTAACTGACTGAGACACCCAGATGCCCCAATTTCACATCTGTTTTTAAGTAAGTTAGTGTGTTCTGGCCATGAGTGCCATATATAGCTCTGTAATAGCTGTTATCCATATCTCAGGAGTGTTTCTTTTCTCATAACTGTGTACCTTAAGGTTGAGGTTGCCAGAGGTGTTGTTTGATGTAAAATAGGTCATGTCAATGTGCCTTGTATAGTGCTGATGATATGGTAGACCCTTAATATTTGATGAAATATTTTAAAGAATATTTTATTTATTTATTTGACAGAGAGAGAAATACAGCGAGAGAGGGAACACAGGCAGGGGGAGTGGGAGAGGGAGAAGCAGGCTTTCCATTGAGCAGGGAGTCTGATGGGGGCTGGATCCCAAGACCCTGGGAGCATGACCCAAGCCGAAGGCAGATGCCTAACGACTGAGCCACCCAGGTGCCCCGGATGAAATATTTGTTGGCTTGCCTTATTAAAACAGCACATCTTGATCCATTCAGATTTTTTCCTGTGGTTATATAAGTAACTGAAATATAAGACTTAAATTTCTTTCATCCTAGGGATGCCATGAGGATTAATTAATGTATGAAAACACTTTGAAGATTATCCAGCTTTCTGAACTGGCTATAGGTTGTGTTTAGTTTTTTTTATTTTTTATTTTTTATTTTTTTAAGAGTTTATTTATTTATTTGACAGACAGAGATCACAAGTAGGCAGAGAGGTAGGCAGAGAGAGAGACAAGGAAGCAGGCTCCCTGCTGAGCAGAGAGCCCGATGCCGGGCTCGATCCCAGGACTCTGGGATCACGACCTGAGCCGAAGGCAGAGGCTTTAACCCACTGAGCCACCCAGGTGCCCCAGGTTGTGTTTAGTTTTGATTATATTATGGATATTTGTAACATTTCCTCTTGGTCCCTATTGGAAAACTTTGACCTTTGATTTTACTTTTCAGTCTAAATAATGATATAAAGTATCACAGCCCCATTTACGTGGCCATACACAGTTCTTCATTTCTACCTTTGCTTACATGCCCCTGTTACCTGTTTCATTTTTTTTTTTTAATTTTTAAAAGATTTTATTTATTTATTTGACAGAGATCACAAGTAGACAGAGAGGCAGGCAGGGGGTGGGCAGCAGGCTCCCTGCTGAGCAGAGAGCCCAATGCGGGACTCGATCCCAGGACCCTGAGATCATGACCTGAGCCGAAGACAGCGGCTTAACCCACTGAGCCACCCAGGCGCCCTGTTTCACTTGTTTTTTATCCAGAGAAGGGAGATGGCATTTTTTAGTGACTTGAGGTTACTCAGAATTTTTGGTAAGCATGTGAACAAAATGATGTTTAAAGAAAGAATTGAAGTATAGTGGACACACATTACATTTTCAGCTTCAGGTGTACAAAGTGATATTCTTAAAAAAAAAATGACATTCTTAGTGTTGGATTACCAGCTCCTTGAAAGAGCATTTTCAATTGCGAATAAATACACAGGCAGAATGATAATAATAACTTAAATTTGTAGAGCAGATTTGTTTATAAAATACTTACAGATGCTTTATATTCTCACAATAACCTTGTAAGGTAGATACTGTCATTTCACAGGTAAGGAAACAGGCTTTGCAATAAGGTCTTACAGTAAGTAGCAAACCTGGAGTTGAACATCATTGTTGACTTTCCATGCCCACCGCCTTGTCCAGAGAAAACCATCCCCTGTAGATGAGGCAGGAGCAGTGGTGCTCAGTCAT